ACCAAATTATTTTTCAGATTTCTTGGTATTTTTTTGATGAATTCTTCAAATTTTTTTTTTGCAGTTCGCTATTCCATTTTTATTCATACAAATTCCATTCTGCTTGTGCTGCTTGGCACCACTACTTCGATTGGAGACTGATCGTATTGCTGACTATCTGCCATTTCTTTTCGCCTGGTCACCAGTGCTTAATCCAATTGTCGTTATGTACTTTGTAAAAGATCTGCGTCCTGGCAGGAATCTATTAATTTTCAAATTAAAGAGTATCGCTACTGCGTTTCCGAATAAAACGAATGCCGGTCAGAACACTATCTATTTCTTGCAAAAACCTTCGGAAGGAAGGAATTCAAACCTGCCGAAAAATGATTTTGTTACGAAAGCGATAACTGCAGTATCAGGAATTTAATACTTCTTAGGTGGCCATATTCTCAATCGAACTCTCCTTGGCTACTTTGAAGAGTTTGGAGCGACAACTCTAGCGTTCAGCCATTTTTTCTGGAATCTGGATCCAATAAATCGGAAAGGAAGATCCAGAGAGATCCGAACCGAAGAAGGAACAGTTGCTTTTTGGGAACCTTTAAATTACATTCAACGGGTAGAAGTGCTATTCGACATGCACAAAACTTCCCCTACTCTGCCCAATGGTAGATAGAACTTCTGGCAGGAGAACTACACTGGCTAAAGAGCTGAATATAATCTTCCCCATCAAAATGTTTCTCTCCAAAACATCACTGACCGTGTACTTGTGGGCAGTCTAAGTATATTTATGTAGTACGCTTTTGTTTTTGTATCATGTTATCTATATTGTATGGTAGCTATTGGATTTGATCACCGGAACTGGATTAATGGAAATGAATAATAAACCTTGACGATCTGTTGTTTGAACATCAAGTGACAATTGGGTCANGTTGACTTGGTATGATTTGATGTGCTTTGTATTGTAACTGATAGTGACAGATTGTATGCAGCAATGTATTGTAAATAATTAAGGTCTGACGAAGGCATTATATGCCGAAAGCTCACCAATAAAAGTGAAGAGCAAAGAGCTTCGAAAAGTACACAAAACGACAACAAATTTAAATGAAGCTCAGAGATAGCAGTATTTTGCAATATTTGAATGTTATTAGACGCAATTTCCCTTAAGATGTACAGGTTGTACTCGAAAATGGATTTGCTAAGCTCTAGTATAGGGCTTTATTTTATAAAGACAAAACGTGGACAATACAACATGAACCATAGGAAATTGGAGCAATAATCATTAGTAACTTCTTATAGTTCAGACTCAGAGTCCAACACTGTGTTAAGGACATACATCAGGCCTTTTGGGGGGACGCACGATTCGTGCGATTCTGGGTGCGCACGGCAATTTGCGCGGCGGAATTCGTGATGATCCGAACGACTCTGACGCCTACTATTGCAGCACAAACTTGAAGTAGAGCAGATTATTCGTATCAGCTGACCATGCCCAACTATTCTACTTCAACTTTGTGCCCCAATAAAGGCGTCGGATCGTTCGAACCGCACCGAATTTTGCCGCGCAATTTGCCGCGCGCACCCAGAATCGCACGAATCGACACACACCCGGACTTTTGCAACAACCCCATTTCCGTTGTGATTCTGGCCACTCATTCCTCGCTTCTTCATTACTCCAACATGTTTACACCATCATATCATTTTGAACCATTTCCTACTCAACTTCTCCCCATTTCGGCTTTTGGTAGCCGTCTGGTCCAGATTATCTTTACCTTTCTGCCACTTCATTATCATTTAAAAGCAACTTTCGCCATTCATCTGCAAATATTTCACCAGGGCAGATCCTCATGATTAAGGTTTAAAGGCACAGTTCAGGATAAATTTGGGTATTCCAAATTATGATGAAAAATGGAAGACAAGGTCGAAAGTAGTGCGATGAAGGGTGGAGAAACTGCGTGAATCCGTGTTTCCAAAGTGAAAAAAAGTTTGAAAAACCGTTAAAAAGGGGGCTGGACGAGAATTGGACCGGAAAAGTGAAGAAGAGTGGGGCTCTTGGACGAGCTATACAATGTGTCTCACTGCGTACGTGTTGGTCCTGGTACGAATAGCAGACTATGGTAAGCAAACCCCATTCACTTATAAGCATAAGTAAACAAACACTTTAGAACAGCAAAAGTAGCTCACCTTTTTCAGCCTCTAGGAGTAGGAAATTAAATAAGGGATCGCGGCAGCAAAAAAGAAAATAACAGAGGAAAAAAGAATGGGAGAAAAACACCGCCTCATCACTCGGCGACAAGCTGATTGTGTGTGGGCCTTAGAACGAATAGTTGCAATCTGTAATGTCTCGACACTCGTCTGACGCGGTGTATGTCGTTTAGCGCGATGGACGGGGTCGCGCCGCCCATTTGAGGAGGTTTGCGGGGTGGGAAACTCGTTCAGATCGGACAACCCTCTGTCTGTCCTCTCCAGCTGATAGAAGCGCGACCAATTAGGCCGCTACTATTAGACGCCGAAATGCGGACCTGCTTGTGGCTATGGGTACATTCACCCAGAACTAGATGGGCGCGACAAATCGCGCGGCGTAGTTCGCGACGATTTAAACGACTTTGGCGCCTATCATTGGGGCCCAAATTCGAAGTAGATCTATCAGCACGATCATCTGACCATACTAATGTACTCTGCTTCAAGTATGTGCCCCAACGATTGATGCCAAAGTCGTCCTAATCGCCTCAAATGTCGCCGCGATTTGCCGCGTCCATCCATTTCTGGGTGAATGTTCCGTCCCCCCTGCTTGTATTCTGCCTGGGTATGTGGCATTACGGGCGTCCGAAAATGCGCGCGGCAAAGTTCGTAATGATTCGAACGACTTTAGCGCCTGAAATTGAGGCCCAAATTTGAAGTAGAGGACATTAGAAGGATTATCTGGTCCTACTAAACTACTCTACTTCGGGTTTGTGCCCGAAAACTGGCGTCAGAGTCGAGCCGCGGCGCGGCGAAATTCGTGGCGATCAAACGGCTTTGGCGCTTATCATTGGGGCACGGGTTCCAAGTAGGTTGGATATGTAGGGTCAGCTGCTACTTATCCATCCCACATCAAATTTGTGCCCCAATGATAGGCGCCAGAGTCGTTTTAATCACAACGAATTTTGCCGCGCCGTTTGCCGCGTCCATCCAGTTCTGGGTGAATGTTCCGTCCGTCTAATAGTAGCTGCCTCATTGGTCGCGCTTCTATCAGCTGGAGAGGACAGACAGATGGTTGCCCGATCTGAACGAGTTATCCACCCCGCAAACCGCCTCAAATTGGCGGCGCGACCCCGCCCATCGCGCGAAAGGACCGTCTCCCGTCTGACGTGATGACTTGACATCATCCGGGGGGCGGGAAAGCCATTGACGCTCCCGCCTATTGAATTATCGTAAACTGTGCTTTTGAATGACTAAACTCTGTCGAGTCAGGACTCCATCCCCGATTAATTGCAAATTCCCCCTCTGTTCACATGTAGAACAGATGGTGGTTGATAGCACAACCCTTTAACAAATATTTACATTGTAACCAAGGCTGACAGCTTACGGTAATCCTATTCATGTTTACAATTGTAGTGTGTTATCCTACATTGAAAGTGGCACCCAGCCGGCGTATGCACCATAATTAAGAGATCGGATACAAAAACATGAGCAAGTTGATTATTACCTATTCAGATTATAACCTATAACTGGTTGATTACACTCCTGTTCTCAGAAAGAAAAGAAACGTTCTAACGATTGTCTGTTTTTTGCTTCTTGTTGCCCTAATTTTTTTTTCAGTAGTCATTCACGAAACGCAGCTACTTTCCTGGTTGATTCAGTTAATCGTCTTAGAGCAGAAGCAGAAGAAACATCACAGTGTGAGCCTATGAATGATTTTCACAATCACCATATTACCGTATCTATGATTTTATGTTCTTTGCCATATTCTGTTACCTTTGTCTCGAATAGATGAGGACTGATCATAGGCATCATCTAGGCCAAATAGATTTCTGAATTTGCTAGAGAACAGGAATAATGTTTGGAAAAATGCTCTTTTTCAAAGCCCATGAGTTGAAAAAGCGATACTTTAGCGATAGTTTAAGAAGATCTGGGGAAAAGGTAGATTTAAAAGACAATGTTTGAGTTGATTTTGTAAATTTCTGGCTTTTTTTCACAAGTTTTTAAAACTACTGGGAGGTGTCGAAATGGCTTTGGCTTTCATCACAATGATTTGCGAAGCCAACTGATATAATGTGTCCATCGTAGATGCATGGCAAAACTTCTATGATCGTCTATGATCGCAAGCAACTTAGTATAGAATGATCCTCCGGGTGCCTTGAATTGTAAGAGCAGAAAACAGCTGAACCTGGTCAACTTGTGCGAACGGATGTGTATTACTAAGAATTAATCAAGCGATGGACCTACTGTCCTCCCTCATGATCCAAGTAGGTCTGCTTAGACTTGCCGGACCCCAGACACTTCTTGCCGCATCCGTCGCTTCTCCTGTCCAAATAACTTGTTTTCCCTTCTCTGTCTTTCAATTACCATAACCCATGAAACTTGGTTTATGCTTTGCTTTAGTCCCTTTAGGTTTTTTTGGTGATTTTATAGGTTCGTAGTGGTTGGTCCCGTTGCTACCGCTTCACTGTCAGGTCAAGTTATATTTCTGGGGCGTGATGCGTTAGGAACGAAATGGTCGCGTCGCGGTGAAAGGGGGGTCGCGCGCGAAGGAATGTAGCAGGATGCAGCAGTAGGTAAGTAATACAAGAACAAAAGTACTTATAGCTGAATTATGCATAAAATAATGGTCGCATATCGTTCCTAACGCCCGTCTCCCATATTTCTGAAGTTGTCTAGAGTAGTAATCTGATTGTCGATGCTTATGGGTGCTCTGCTTTGATCAGTGGTTCTGATAAGTTGCCAAGGCTGACATCTGGGAGAACTTATATTTATGATTGAATGCGGACGTCATGACGTCAGAAAAGTAAAATGGAAAGAGAGTAATTGAATTCACTAGCTTTTCAATCACCCAGATGGATATTTGAGACAAATGCAGTTGAGAACCATTAGATAGATTCAATAGATTTGAGGTTAGATGAAACGACAAAGATCAGCGAAAGAAGAAATTTGAAAAAAGGGCCCGGGAAGTGATATAAGATTCACTAACCATCCCTTCCTCGAAGAAATGGAAGCGAGTCATTGGTACTAAAGTTGAATTACCGACTTACAATCCTTAAGTGTACTTTGTATTCAGTTTTTTCTCCATTTAGCAAATCGCTAAATGCTAAGTGATATGATGATCACATTGCATATTAGCTGCCAAGCTTTGTACCCTTCCCATGGGATGGATTACCAAGCCACGAGCTAATCCAACTAATTAATAATGTCTGGAGATCGACAAGTTCAATAACTGATGTGCAGCTTGATAAGTTATAGAGCTTGAGTTATTACCTACATAATGAAAGACTTACAAAAATTCGAAACCTAGCCTGTGGTGCTCGTTTATACTCCATTCTTACCTCAACATTCAGTTAGATGAGTTGGATCAAGAATGGTTTCAATAGAAAACAAAGTTGCAGANCTGGCGTTTCAGATCCCAATTACAGATTGCAGAAAGTCAAACGGCAGAAGTTAGATTGAAGGTTTGCATGATGGAAATTAGTGTTTTCTCAAAATTTTTGTTATTACCTGCGAGCAGGGAGTCTTCATCATACCGTATTCAACAGTCTCAGACTCGCAGCTGACGCAAAAATCGTGACTCCTGACCAAAATGTAAGTTCATAACAGGATGTGCTGGTTTGACAGGATGCTTTAGATTAGTTTTTTACCCTGCGTGATCAGCAATTTATGCCTTGCACAGATTGAAGTTTCTTTTTCGTTCGAATCCCCCCTATGCTAGCTTAATAACTCGGCCTTGTCCTTTTCGATACTCTCAAAAACACTTTCCCTTAATTTTTTCACGGCGAGTTCACCATTTGATAGAGAAACTTGTGAATCTTGAAGGACATCGGCGAGAATTTCACCAAAAATTCATAAAATTCATTGTCGTATTCGGATGCTATTTTCTAGCTTCTGCTCCCAGCATCAATTCACTACAGGTTTGCTATTAGCTCTAGCCAATTTCCTCCTTTTTCGGACACATAATGGATGATCCGGTTAGGTGTTACCAGACCTCTCGAGTGCCGGTACAGAGCGGAATGTCCCCGAGAGCATCCTCCGAATTCTGCAGAATTTCTGCAGACAATACATTTTACTTCACGGCGTAACCTCATTTGAATGCACAGATTTTCACCCGCCACATATACGACGCATGAAAAAGAGACTCTGGGCAAGGGGGGGGGGNGGGGGGGGAGGCACCGGGTTTCTTGCAGCTAGGGGTCACGTGGTGCATCTTTGAAAACGGCACGCAAACAATACCGCGCTTCAATGCCAGAGGAATAGAGGGGAAATAACTGAAACCGCTACGCGACCGCGCGCTGGCGGCGATAGATGCTCTCCGATGCGTTCCGCTGTGTAGCACCACTCAGACCTCTCTGGGAGTATAGATGCACTGACTTGTACGTTAGCCAGTCACCGCATGTTATAGCATTGGCCACATACGCATTTAAAGTGTCCCTACGATTCTGAGTGGAAGTCGGATGAGGGGCGCATAACAAATGAGACTAACTGATGCCAAAGACGTTATCCTTTGTCCTTCCAAGGTAGTGTGAAAACAAAGTCTTTAAGCTGTACCGAGCATCAGGGCATAGTCTCTAATCGGCTATATTCCAAAATCTCTTCAATACTGGAATAAGTTGGATTGAAGTTAACCTCGAAATACATTATTAACCCTTCTCGAGGCTTTCAACAAACGCAAACTCATATTGTTGTCATCCAGAATGAATTTCAGGAGTTACCACAAATTACTCTATTTTATGAAGTTTTTCTCTTCAGATTGAATGGCGACTGGCATAAGTATTGCGGCTAATCTCAATGCTGGTGTGAGCGGAATATGTTCACTATGTCTCAATGTATTCCTCATTATAACCATCTTAAAAGGCCGATCAACAATCTTCGGTTATTATAAATGGATTATTATATCGTCATCGATTTTCGACCTTACATTCAGCGTTATGACTGCCGTTGCCTGTCCAGTAAGTGACAATACAATAGTACGTTTGAAGGCACCGTTCACGATAAAAAAGATTATTGAGTTCTTACCTCATTAATACTCAGCGGCCCCCATGGACTGTAGAAGGGACCCTCTCACTCCCCCAATCTCGACGTCCAGGGCATAGTGGCAGCTCCGTTGCTGCCGTAGTTCGAGTGCCCGCCCCTCGGTCGATGAGAAGAATAGTAGCAGTTCAGCAGAATAATAGCAGGGAGAAATCCGATCAGATGTTTGGGTGTGTTGTCTACATTTGCAGACATTGCGTCGCCTTCATGCACCCGCCCGAACACTCCCTAACCGCCGTTCTTTCAATGTAAAGTTCGTCCAACCCCCCTTCCCAACTCTTTTCTGACCCTTTGTATTTCTTTTTGTTCGTCGTTTTTTGCGCTTTTTTCGTTGTTATCGCCTTACTCTAGAGTAGTTCTATTAATTCCCGTCAAAAAAGGTACCCTAAATTTATCGTGAACGGTGCCTTTAACTGGAAGCTTGACAGGTAGTATGTCATTGTATGACAAGTAGTAAGGAAAGGCCCATTTGAGCCTCTAACCTGGTGGCATTCAACATCGATGGGGAAACATGCACAAATTATTAGTTTAAATAGTATTTCATGGATCGCAAAGAGCATGGGAAGATTCATGAAAAATCCCTTCTTCACGTCCTCCGATAAGCACGGGTCCCGTGAAGCCGCACGATCAAAACTAGCTTGGGCGACCTTGGGTGGATCCTACAGCATGGTTCATAATAGCTTTGACATTTTCACAGTTGGCAAATTAATTATAGTTCCCCTAGAAAAGACGCGTCCCTGCTTTTTCTGGCATTTTGTTGTCTCTCATAATCATTCTACAAGCAGGCCGAGTGGAAGCAGGATGAATGGGACACTATCAAATCGAATCGTCAGAGAAAAACTACTCTTGAGCTGGGAAAACTGAACGCTTGAGTTGTAGGATCGCGGTTAGACAGTATCAGGGTACGATCACCACACGTTTTCTTACTTTTGCCAGGAGACCTCCGTGAAATTCGAAGTTCAATTCGAAGCGGATAATCATTGGTTCTGATCAGCTTGGTATCGACGTAGTTTAAATGCTGTTTCCCCAAGTTCAACTATTCATCATTGCTCCACGATTGTGAATGAGAGTGCTATGTGTAATACTGTTGTTGAATTCTGACGCCGCGAGGCAACTATCAAAAGTTTTTATCGTGGGCACACGCATTTGTTCGGTGTGGTGCAGTAGGAACGAAATTGTCGCGTCGCGGTGAGAGGGACGTCGCGCGCGAAGGAATGTAGCAGGATGCAGCAGTAGGTAAGAAATACAAGAACAATAGTACTAATAGTAGAATTATGCATAAAATAATGATCGCATATCGATTGAGCTGTATGAAGAACGCTGGAGCTGTAATAACGGCGAGTGAGGGGTCCGCGACAGCCGCGTGCGGCGAATCGATTACCCAAAATCGTTCCTAACGCCCGTCTCCCGCATTTGTGGGTACTAGAGCATGTATTCTGCCAGTCATGCCTACTCATTCATATTCAACTGCTTGGGCTGTCATCCAAAAAAAAATTGTCAGTAAGCCTGGTGCGCTTTCTAGGAATGCTGTCATGGCATGGGTACTAGGGCATGAACTCTATCAGCGATGGCTACTCTTTCATATTTAACTGCTTTCAGGCTTTCAATCGATGGAATTTGTCAGTAAGCCCAGTGCGCTTCCCAAGAATGCTGTCATGGCATGAATATGACCCCTGCTATCCCCTCAGGACCCTCATCTTTTACTGGTTGAAGATAAAAAGTTGATATCTACTTAAACCTAGCGCGATAAACTAGTCGTTTTGGCGCATCACTAATAGAAACCACATTGGCAGGTGCTCCTCGCTGATTCTTGATATAAGTAGTTCGCTGTTTGTTTATATTCGCTGTCGATAATATCCTTTTTTCATTACCTCTCTGAACCTTTTGCATTGTGTGATTGAAAGGCTGGAATTGTGCTATTAAAAGTTGATAGTTCAGACAGTAGCAGCAATCGGCAATATGTCTTCTGTCATGTTCGTGAAAGGAGGTTTTCGTCTGCCACTTATGTATGGTCGAGCCCTGTTAATTATCTGGATCCTACTTCTATGTACCTCTATTATAGTATCGCCGTGCTTATTTATATTTCAATATTTACAAGTTTGCAGGTGATCGTGCACATACATATATGACTACAAGGGTGACCCTGCAGCGCCCCTTCAGATACCTTCTTCCTGCCTTAGGGTGCCGGAACTTCTCCCCGAATTCCCGCGCTGCTGCGCGCGATCGGGTGCGGCGAACGCGACGCCGTTTTCGGGGAGAAGACACCGGACCCCCTACATTATTAAACTTACATAAACAAACTTACTTTCTTGAACTCTTTTGTGATGTACAGAGGAAAGACAAATCGCAGAAGTCAATTGTACTTCGTTTCCATATATTCGTGCGCAAAACAAGCAGGAAAACTAATGCATTTTGTATACAGGGCCCAATGGATGACAGTCTATGGTCGACGATCACTTCTCCTATTTCTGACTCCCATCGCTATTGCTTGGTCAGCCGCTTCAATCTTAATCACTTCCGCTTACCCAGACGTTCACGACGTTGCCTATTTCGATGATATTGCTCTTCACCTCTACTTAAACGAACCTCGAGCGTATCTAGTCGCTTCTTTTCGGGTCAGTCTTCATATAATGAATATTTATCAGTTTTTTTCAAGAGTATAATCGAACGTTGACAAGAACAGATTGCACACCCTTGTGGCCAGATGACGAAATGACCGGTACCCATAAACAGGGCCAAGAAGTTTACAGAGACAAGATTCCAAAGAGGTCGTGAATCGAGTGGCACTGAGAGCCGCTCAACTTTCGGCTCCCGCATGCTTTCCCCAGTTCTATCATGGAAGTCCATTACCCGTAAAGATATCCAGAGGCCGGGCGTTTCTATAAATTTTTTTCTCTCCCTGAACTTTGTACATCTACTCGTGTCATGGAGATCTTCGGGAGGGCAATACCCACTCTGGATATTNATAACACTTATATCACTTACACTCTAGATATATTAATAATACAAAGAACTAAAGGTGAATCAGCTGGGCAGCAATGAACTCGTTCAATTCATTCATACATTTTCCCATTTCCGTAACCTGACCGTATTGCAGCCAAGAATGAATGCTGAAGATATGGCGCAATCCTGGATGCTAACGGCATCTTGTATCTATCTTGTATGTATTCTTCTCTGCAGCTTATTAACTATGCTTATCTGTTCACGATTGATTGTGATAACTGTAAAGCGCAATTCTAATGAAAGGTCTAGTCATCTTCAAAGTCAAGTCTTGAAGGTGTTACTGGTGCAGGTGTGATATTTTTTTCGGTCGGAATATTTTAAGCCCATTTTTTTCATTTTACAGCATAAGATTCCAATTTACTTGGAAGCCTAGTGATTACCGAATTTTTTTATTAATATCTGAAAAATAGTCGTTTTCATCAAATCATTTTTTGAATTTCCTAATGTTTTTGAAGGTTACTCCAAAATTTTCTTTGCAGTTCACTATTCCATTCCTATACATACAAATTCCATTCTGCTTATGCTGTTTGGCACCGCTATTACGAATGGAGACTGATCGTATTGCCGACTATCTGCCATTTCTTTTCGCCTGGTCACCAGTACTTAATCCAATCGTTGTTATGTACTTTGTAAAAGATCTACGTCCTAGTAGAAAGTTGTTGTCCTTCAAATCGAACAGTAACGCTGCTGAATTTTCAAAGAAAATGAATACCGGTCAAAATACTAATCATTTCTTGAGAAGTCGTTCAGATGGGAGGATTTCAGACCTTCCGAAAAATGGTTTAGTAGCAAAACCGTTAACTGCAGTAACAGGAATTTGATATGCCCTCAAAAGCGGTATTCTCAATTGAGCACTCCTTGGCAACTACAGAGCAGCAACTCTAACGCTCAGCTATTTTTCTTGGATTCGGATGCACTACAACAGGAGTTTCTAGAGAGATTCAATCTAGGAAAGAAGTCGTCCGAACTATACTGAAGAACTAAATCCCTTCTCAATAAACATATTCCTCTCCGGAATGGTTGTATACTTGTAGGCATCTTAACTATTGTACATATCTGTTTTTCTGTCAAGTGTTCTATATTGTACGATGACCATTCGATTTGATTACCACAACCGGATAAATGGAAATGAATAATAAAGCTTGACGATCTGTAATTGAAATGTCACATGGTAAGCGGATCATGAATGTAGCCTTTGCTTACCCAAGGTCAGTTTATGACTGACTGTGTGTTGTTTGTATACATGTTTGTATTTTCTTTAGACTATATACAATCTTAAATCGGGATAGGGATTGCCAGGCAGCGTGAAAAGGCTTGGTTTCATAAAGACAAAATGTGGTCGATATAATGTACCAGGAAAACGAAGCAAACATCGATAGCAACTTCGTATGGCTCAGAGAAAAGCATTCTCCGCTGTGATTCTGACCCATTTCCTCTTTTCTTAAGTGCTCTCCCTGTCCATTTCGTGGGCTGTCAGGTTCCCAATTATCATTCCCGTTCCTATCACTTCATCATCACTTGGGGACAACTTTATGTTTATCTCCAAATGTTTCGCTATGGCAAATCCTCGTGATAAGCTTCGATCACTGTTCGTATGCTTCAATCAGGGCTTTCAATTAGACTTCAAGCAGTGCTGATATTTACGGCGACACTTATAGTTACGATTAATGACGGCATTCAAGACGACAGAATGAAAAGTGAATAATGGGTAAATCATGTCAACTTCCTTTGCAATCAGTCCACCAGACTTTGGATTCATTGCGACTAGTATTCGCTATTGATCTGGTAGAATGAGTAGATTCCGCAGGACATTTTTTTAAAAATTTTCCTCATTTTATATCATCATTATCTGAGAAAGAATATAACCTCATAAAGGAGTAATGTCACAGCCATTTGATGGCCATTTCTGATGATAATTATAGTGCACTGTAGACCAAAGCACGGGGGAAAAAATTAGAGGTTTGCATCGTAGCGGCTAATGTTTCCTACGAAAGTTCAGTAATTACCTGCATGCAGGAGACTTATGATCCTCTCACAACTGCTTCATACACGCCCCCGTTGCTGTCGTCATGAACTCATAGATGGACTTTGAAACCTTTTCGAGACTTTATGAATGCGATAGCACATCCTCGCTCCTTTCTTTGATTACTTTCCATATTTATATAAGTAAACAGTGGACGGTAATCGAAAAGCTCTCAGTGGAAATTTACCCCTTGGCTTGTTACTTTCCGAGGGCAATACTGAAAAATTTATGAATAACTTCTCGGAACCATTTTACAATAATCCTCTGGATTACTAGTGTTCGCCATTAACCTCGGAACATTTCTGCTTGTCTTATTGAATTACTTGTTCTTTTTAGAACATGCGATGTCATTTCATTTTTCAACAGAATCTTTTAAATTTTGATTGATAATTAATTTTCTCTCCTGATTTGCTCGAGCGAGCGCCCCTAAAGCGTCCTCTTTCGATCCGCTCGCAACTGCACTTCACTGGATCCGTGTACCTTGCAAGACAGTATGAAGGCCTTTTAGCAATTACTCTGGCCTAGATTTGACCACAAAACGGTCGAGCCTAATAGAAGCAACATGAACAAGTTTATTTAGCCCAAAAATAATTTCCATTAGGTTCGGCTACAGGCCGATGTTCCAAAGTGCAATTGTCTATCCTGTCGCAAATGTCTATCCTGAAGAAGTGGAATAGCGATATTATGAGTGATCTTTCGAGGACTGTTACATTCTATCATGCTTTATGAGAAATGGAATCAGCCGAATTCAACGATTTTACTCCTCAACGATACGACAGTCACCCCGCGAGTTATGGACAATCAGAAAGCTAGTTTTACTCGCTTAGAGGCACAGTTCACGATAATTTGCGGTACCCATTTTAAGTTGGAAGGAGGAAGTGTTCACGTAGTGTAATGCACTGGTGGCGAAAAAGCGAGAGAATCCGCCTACATACATCGCGAAAAATAAGGCTTTCCAAAAGTAGTGCAAGTAGAGGTTGTACGAGATTACCGTGACAGAAATGGCATGGAAGGGGTATTCGGACTAGATTTCTGTTGTGACAACTGCGGAAAGAGCCGACTATATCGAGTGGGACTGTCTAAAACTGCTTTCCATTGTCACCATGGGTCATGGCAAGTTATTAGAACTTCTTACATGGTAGTCCCTTGAGATAGTGCAGCCTCTACAACACCGTCGAGACTCGTAGGCTGTGGGTGTGGCACTCACACTATACAATGTATGGCTCCCCTATGGTGCCCTAACCAGGACGTTTCACGACCTGACATCGGCACATACGGCATCAGAAGGGGCCTCGAACTTCATCCTAAGGGAAAATTACAGAAGCAATAATTTTGTGAGCTGTGCTCCTAGTTGGGGAGCACCAACCTGAGACTGAGCGCTATAAAAAATATAGGTTGGAATGTGGGAAGAACTAGGGGCAGCGTATGGAAAAGAAATCTTGGAGTACATTGATTCTCTTCAGACACTTTATTGCTGCCATCGCAATCTATGCGGTTTCAATTTTGCCAGATATTGTTTGATTTGTTGCATCTCAACTTCATTTTTCAGATTATATGGCTTCTTACATTAGTCTTGTGGCGAACATCAACGCTGTCGTGAGCGGGCTTTTTTCGCTGTCTCTCAACGGATTCATCATTGTGGTTATATTGAAAGGCAAATCAACGTCGACTGGATATTACAAGTGGATCATTATATCGACAGCGATTTTCGATGTAACATTCAGTGCGATAAATGCTTTTGCTTGTCCGGTAAGTGGGTTCTCAAGAATGCCTGGTACTGAGAAATTGTCTAGTCTCCAACACAGTAGACATGATCGTGTAGTAAGAAGAAGAGGAGTGTAGAAGGAAGAAATAAACCTCGAAGCATTCAGGGTTGGTGAATTTTCATGAGCGACTCTACCTCTGGTCGGAACAGGCATTTTGCCTAATTGAATTGAATTTTGTCTGATCGCTGAGACCTCGCCCAGGCTATGCTACGGAGCGAGGAGTTCAAGCTCACCTGCCAGTTTTTAAAATGACCTCCTTCCTCCCCTTTCGACATGCCTTTGTTTATCATATCCAATCTTTGAACACGATCTAGCAACAAGCCCAGCCCAATAAGGATATCGACTTATGGGAAAATTGCTCGGCCTGGCTAGGGTTTGAGACCTCTACCAGACTAAGCATTTTGCCCATAGATTGGAATTTTTGTGTAGCTTGCTTTGTTTGCTGAGCAGTCAAGAATGGTATCTAGTCAAAACGGAGGGAACCATAGCGCAGAAAACTGACTGAGAGAAGCCGTACGTCAACCGAAAGCGCAAAAGAAATTTCAATTCCGTCTGGGGTCTCAACAGGCATTGTTCCCATCTGGGAAGCTCCGAATTCCCCATCTGTGGGCTTCTGAAGCAGTTCGCAAGTAATTCCTCGCTTTTTTTGCATTCGTCGATCTTTCTTCTTTCCATGCTTTTATGCCATGCAATTTGAGCAACGAATTAGAAACGAAATATGGATTTTCAGACACTAGCAGCGATTGGCAGTGAATCTTCTGTGATCATCATCAAAGGAGGTCTCCAAATACCATTTTTATACGGCCGAATTCTGCTGGTAATCTGGGTCATCCTTCTATGCACTTCTATCGTGGTATCACCATGCTCATTTATATTTCAATATTTTCAAGTCTGCAGGTAAATGTACAGTTAATGTTTTACTTTCTTCTAAAGGCGGATCCGCTTTATTTTCTTAATCTGCTTTATACTTCTCCCGCACAATAGTTCAGCTTAATGTCGGTCTGAACAATTCAATTGAACAGTCAAACCCTATTCGAGAAATAAAATTCAAATGAAACATTAGGCTTACGGCAAAAAAAATTAAGGCAAAAATGGCTTATGATATATCCTCCTAAGATAAATTCGTGGCTCCTGGCATACCATATATGGCGCTATCAAGTTGGAAAACGACCTAGATTTAGATATAGGGCGTTATAAAAGCTTAGAGATTGTCCCGTGTGTATACTCGAATGAGTTTCACCGGCTTTGTAGAGGCTACACCAGTCGCAAGGGAATCCATGTAGGAAGTTCAAATAGTTTGTCATTACCAATGCCGACAGCGGAGAGCATTTCTGTACAGTTCTGGCTTGATGTAGACAGCCGCTGCTTTCATAGTCCGCCGGCCGGTCCGCGAGCGCGCGGGCCGACCGGCGGACTATAAAGGCAGCCAGGAGTTTACGTAATTGTAACAACTGAAATCTCATTCGAATACCCCTTCCATGCCATTTCTGTCATGTTAATCTCCCCCAAAACCCATCTTCCCTACTTCTATGAAGCCCTGTTTTTCTCGAAATCGGCGAATTTTCTCGCTTTCTTCACTGCCACTTAACTATTTCCAGCCCATACCTCAGCTTTTTGACTAGAAAGGGGTCGCTTAGAATGATCGTGAACGGTGCCTTCAATTAAACAGATAAACCCCATTCGAGAAACAAAAACCCCATGGAGCAAAGAGAAAACAGAAATACCGAAGACTATACAATAACTAGATATGTGAATACTGATTTATCGAGGTTCAGTGGTATAGTACTCATTCTAATTTATCTACAGGGCTCAATGGATGGCGCTTTATGGTAAACGACTCCTTTTTGTACTTGTGATTCCATTTGGCGTTGTATTGGTCGCCGCTTCAATGTTATGCGTTTCGGCTTATCCAGATGCCAAGGATTATTCTCATTTCGACCCTATTGCCTTACGACTTTACCTGAACGAGCCTAGAGCATATCTCGTCGCCAGCCTTCGGGTCAGTTTTTTATGATACCAATATTTTATTAGACAGAAGAGTGAGATCATCGGCGAAGGCGCAAGGGAGAACTCTTTTCAATACCCACAAATATCACCCTTTCCATTTAATCAATCATGACAATCATAAAAAGAATGAAGGAATATTCGTGGGTATAAGGAAGCTTCCATGGTATTTTAGGGCGGAATTCAGCGCAACTCGTTTGCATAAAATCTTCCACATAGTGGCACTATCTACCTTTGTTTTTGCTTGAGAGTTGTAGCTCAATCACGTTGTAGGGAGCGTGGGAAACCTTACTGGGCATTTTGAATGGCTCTGAGAGTTTCAACTTCCGAATTCTCCCACCCATCAAGTGTAGAAGGGGCCTATTCAAATGATAGTCGAATTCATTCTAGGCTGAGGAGTATGATGATGATGAATTCCAATCTCACTTGCTCGTAGCGGCTTGTATTTACCTCGTTTGTATTCTTTTAATGAGCTTATTAATTATGCTAATCTGCTCTCGACTAATCATGGTTGCTGTGAAACGTGCTTCTAGCGAAAGCTGTTCTCGTCTTCAAAATCAGGCTTTGAAAGTATTACTCGTACAGGTGGGGTATTTTCGTAACTGGAATTCTTTCTTTTACTTTCAAGGCACAGTTCACGATGATTTTGAAGTACCCGTTTTTATTCGGAAAGCGGAAGTATAGAGTGCCATTAGTTCATCGATAGCGAGAAAACGAGAGAATTTGCCGATTTCGAAAAAAATATGACTTCTCAAAAGAAGGGTTTATAGAGATTGGACTAGATTGCTTTGACGGAAATAAGTTGAAAGTGGTATTCGGACGAGATTTCAGTCGTTGTTATTGCGCAAGGAGCTGACTACATCAATCCAGAACTGTATAGAACTGTCTCTCACTGTCGCTATGGGTCATGACAAGTTGTTTGAACTTCCTACATGGGTTCCCTTGTGATTGGTACAGCCTCTATAATACCGGTGGAACTCGTCCGAGGATACACACGGGCCAATTTTTGAGCTTTTATAACTCCCTAACTGGGCCGTTTTCCGACCTAATAGCACCAGATATTATATACGTGAGGGCCTTAAAATCATCCTGTGAGTGAATCTCAGAAACTATTTTTATCGTGAACTGAGCATTTAACTTTTTTCTCTAAAGATCTGCAGCACTGTCGCTGACGTGGGAAGAATACAGTGTGGATGGCATAAAACTGAGATTGTGAGCAGTGAATGGGATTCTTCAAAAATAGTTTCACTGTGGAAATTTCCATTGGTTTCAATTTGCTCATCTGAAAATTTATTTAGTTCGCAATTCCATTCCTCTTCATACAAATTCCATTCTGTGCATGCTGCTTGGCACCACTACTTCAAATGGAGACTGATCGTATTTCTAACTATCTGCCTTTTCTATTCGCCTGGTCACCCGTGCTTAATCCAATTGCTATAATGTGTTTTGTAAAGGATCTACGTCCTAGGAAAAATTGTCTGCTTTTCATGTCGAAAAATACTGCCTGGGGATCTCAAAATAAAACACATGCACGTCAGAACACAAATAATTCTTCGAGAGGTCAACTACAAGCGGCAGCTTCTCACAGAAGAACGGTTTTGTAGTAAAGGCACTGGCTCTATGTAGAATCGCAAGTCTGACGGCTCCTCAAAAGGCTACAAATTCGGGCCGCGTCCGATCTCTTATATATTCCCTCTCACTACCATTTTAATAGAAAGAGGACGAGACATGGAAACTAGCCGCTCCCCAGACGGCTCACACATCGCTTTCTAAGATGCTTTTAGAGTAAGTCAATCCACTATGGCAATACATTGAAGGAGGGCAGCAACCTGTAATAAGCGATCATAAAATTTCCCTGATAGCCCATACTTCCTGGATTGTGGCAACATTTACTCGACAATAGTTGTTTTCGAAATATTAGGTTGATGCATGATTATTGCGGATTGTTTCATCATGTTTTACTTAAAGAAAAGATATAAGTATCTAGCAAAGACATGCTTAAATAATTACTCCGGAAAATATCCGCCATCTACGTCAAGCATCGCTTCCCATTCTCTAGGAATTCAAAATCCACAGGCGAAGAATTCCTGATCTCGGAGACGATCCACGCTTTAACCTCGGTCATCAAGTCATCCATCTCCTCGAAAGTTTGTTCGCTAGCCAGTTTTTCAAGGGGCGATTGACGTGATAATCCATAGGAGTTTCTGTTGGTGAATAGGGCGTTAGAAGCAGATTCCATTCATTATTCGGCTTCGGCTGACTGTCCATCGCCGAGAAGTTCGTTGAGATCACTTTATGACTGTGCCACCTTCCAACCTTTCTCAAAGTAATTGGGCATAATGTGGGGTATATGAAGATGACTTTCAAGACATATTCCTGTTAACGGAGGCAAGAAGATTATTTCTTTTAAATCTCGAATTCAATATTTAGATTGTATAAAGAGAAAAAAAGCCGCAAAAAAATCCGCAATAATTATGCATCAACTTGTAAGCTATGGTCTTTCAGTAGTAGAGGTTGTTGCTATTGTTGTCATTGTGGTATTTGGTCTGTTTATCAATCATAGGCTACTTCGGTATGAAGATCATTTGCAATGTTGTCTCATTAGCAGATGCGGAATTCATAAATAGTTTTGTTTGTGTTTGTTCTGTTTCTTTGCAATTATGTTCATGTTCGAGTGATCTGGCCACAGATACTTCCTCACTACATTACTTTAGGCTTAATAAGCTGATATATAGTAAGGTATGCTATCTCCACAAATGTTCAGGTACATCAGGCGAAGGCCCGTTGCGCGCGTCCGTCGAAAGTAGGTCAACCCGCCCACTTCGCGCGCGTCGCACCCCACTGAGGTCTCGAGATGACATTACAGTACCTTCAAGTGTGAGTGGAGCAAACGATTTGCATTTGTCCATGTTATCTTCCCATTGGCTGACTGCCCTGGACCAAGCGCAAACCTTATGCCCACTGACAACTGCGATGTCATGATAACACACAAACGATATAGAAAGCTATAAAAAGTATGATAGAACATATTAACAACATGTATTTGGTATAAACATTGGACAACATTGGACA